CAGGCCTTCCCAGCGTTCGATTTGTACGATTTGGCTTGTAGAGGATTTCTCTGTAAAATGGGAACTGTGTTGTGAAGTTGAAACGCCCAGATCGGTGGTGGACATTGAGAACCTGCGTTTCAAAGTGAGCACGCTGTTATGTTTCAGGTATACTTCATTGCAGACATGGAATCATCTTAAATCTGTGACATGATAAATTTGGCATTTCAAAGCATGTAGATATGAAGCTTTTCTTGCATCTGGAATACAGATCATTTATTCACAAGGTGGTGGATGTAACATGAACAATCACTGGTTCCAAACACTTACATCCAGAAAGCTTTTGAAGAACTGCCTGTTTAATGGACTATGAACATCTTGGTTAGGTTTTGCTTCCTGTGCAACAAGTACTTGAACTGCTAATGGACCGGTTTCTTCCTTGGTGTACCCGTCCTGCAAGTGTAATCCTCTCTCATATCACTAATTGAAGTGTACACGATAGTGCAATGGACCGGTTTTACTGTAGCTATGTAATGCAGCATATGGATTCCCACTTGTTAAAGGTTGGAGCTACCTGGCATATCCCTCTGTCGCTTCCCTTCACAATGCAAAATGGATCTTGAAGGCCAGTTTGAACATGACCACTGTGCACTCCACCTTTCTGCAGATTGAACTCCGGAACGGCACGCCCATCAAAGAAAGGATTGGAGCCATCACGCACACCATATGGTTCGTTTGAAGTAACGACTGTTATGTTCAGATATTTCATCTCTGCGAATTCATTCTCACCATCATAGTTGTCCGATTTGCTCATGATCTCTATGGCCACACCAGAAGTGAAGGAGTCCCACATGAAGTAGCTCTGCAAATAGAATACAAATGACAAGCTGCCCGTGATCAGAAAACATTGCACCAGCCAAGTACTGATAGAAACCTCATGAAGAACTCACTGTGTAGAACTGGTTGTCGAACCAGTTATCCCGAATGATTTTTAGAGATTTGAAACAGTATTGTGCCTCAAATGTTTCTTGCTGCTGTTGGAACACATCAAAAAATTCCTCATTGATGGGGATAGTGTTGGTCGAATCAAGTGGAACGAGAGTGACTGGAATCCCAGCATGAAAGACCTGCCTCAATGCAGTAGACATCAAATGAACTAGTCTTTCTGTGTCTATGGAAACTAAATTAGAACTTGCACTGCACACAAGCAGTAATGCTTGATTCTAGCAGAACTGTATTCAACTCAAAACAGATCCATGTATGACGGACTATTCACCTGGTATGCAGCAAAAGGATCTCCAAATATATTGAACTCTGCATAAGGATTGCTGATGTATCCTGTAAACAGGTTCCCCTTACGGTCACAGTGCTGAGGCTCGCAAGAAGTGCTTGGATTGTTTGTGCAGCAAGGGTTCTTCGACTTTACACCACCTCCCATAATATAGATGTGCTCGATGTTCTTCTTCAGATGTGGGTTGGTCATGAGAAACAAAGCAATGTTGGTGTGAGATCCAATAACAAAGAGCACAGTAGGGCCAGCAGAGACTGTGTCAATCAGAACTTTTTGAGCTGTGGGTTGCTGAAGAGGAATGTAACGCCTTCTGCCCTGGTGTTTTCAGGCACAAGCAGGATGTAGGCATCAGATCATTGAGAAGACCATGAAAGGTCGAAGAGCATGATCATGAACTATCAGAATTCAACCATTACTAGTTGAATTGAGTACCTGAGGTAGGAAGCTCCTACGCAAGCCATAGTTAGTGTTGACATCTAATCTTCCATGACCACCTACCGGAATCGCTTGTCGATAACGGCAGTCGCCTGCCGTCGACATGCCCTGAGATTTGCCGACGGTTAGCGCCTGGTTTCGCAGAAGCCGATAATATATAAGAATAAGAACCTTGTAGATGTACCTGTTCTATTAGGGGGAGATAGCCACCAACGTGCGGGAGTATGGTGCCGTCGTCCAGTATTCCACCATCACCTCCGACTCCGACGGGAATGTCGTCCCGGTTCATCATGTAAAGGATGTCGTACACATGATTGACAGCATGCCCTGCATCGGCCCATGCATTCGCGCTAATCGTAATAGCCTGAAATGATCATGCATGCCACCCAGAATTATGCAAACAAATACCACTCCATGAGGTTTAGGTTTAAATTTTTGATTCATGAGTTCTATTCGTCACTGCGGTAATGGAGATCACGACTGCAGGTCCGGATGAGAAAACAGTCCCTTTGATCGGACATCACTGACACAAGCAATGTCATTACTGGATGAATGGCGGGAATCAAACCTTGAGGTCGAACTGCGATCGGTTCTGCTTCAACAGGTACAGAAGCGCAAAGAAGTCATCGGTATCCATGTCCGTGTCCAAGAGAATCCGGCGAGGCTTCGCGTCCACCACGCAGGATTTCCAACCAAGGAATTCCATCAGCACCAGGAACAGAAGCGCCACACTCCTTCCGGTTCTCATCATCTCTTCCCCAACCGAGCATGCAAAGGAATTACCAGGCCAATCACCAACCTTCACTTAAAATACTAGACGATTCTTGACCTCAAAGTACACATGATTAACAGCATGCCCTGCATCGGTCCATGCATTCGCGCTAATCGTAATAGCCTGAAATCATCATGCATCTCAATCAGAATTATGCAATCAAACACAACTTCGTGAGGTTTAGGTTTAGCCTTTTGTTTCATGTTCTAAGTGCGTTCCTCTCTTGTTCATTGTGGTGATGTGAATGGAGATCACGACTGCAGGTACTGAAGAGAGACCAGTCCCTCTGATCGAACTCTGATCGCTAACACAAGCAATGTCATAACCAGATGAATGGCGGGAATCAAACCTTGAGGTCGAACTGCGATCGGTTCTGCTTCTACGGGTACAGAAGCGCAAAGAAATCATCGGTATCCATGTCCGTGTCCAAGAGAAGCCGGCGAGGCTTCGCATCCACGGCGCAGGATTTCCAGCCAAGGAATCCCATCAGCACAAGAAACAGGAGCACCACAGTCCTTCCCGTTCTCATCCTCTCCTCCCCAACCAAGCATGCAAAAGAATCTCTGCAAGCCAATCACCAACCTCAACTATAAAACACGAGACGATTCTTGACCTGAAAGCAAACTCACATCTTTCTTCTAGCAGACTCGCTCCACCAACGCACACAAACATAAACTTACACAGGTGGAGCGAAGGATTGGTGAGAGGAAGAAGGAAGAGGTGAGGGTGGACCGGAGAAGGAAGAGGTGGCATCCCGCAACACCTCAGTTGGCTGCCATGCAGATGTAGCAAGAGCCACCATGCATTGACTATAATTGTATGTTAGTCAAACATCCAAGCAATGCGCCGAAGCCACGAAATTGCAGTGGGTGGACGTGAATGATGAGATCAAACAGTGGCAAAAGACTACTAGGTGATGAAATCTATCGTCGTGAAGAGTTCTTCGCCCAACCTTGACGCAAACAGCACATGGAGATGGGTGATTTCTCGTTCTCATCATGTCTCAGGCGTCCACTGTACTCGTCAACTTAGCCACCTTGCTTATTCGCCGTGGTTGAGTGACTTGGATTTATGCCAAAACATTCCATCATCCGCTTTTGAATCTTATTACTTTGATCATTTTACACATCAAAGACTAGAACTCAAATGTTGAGATTTATTTGGCTTGAGGAGGAAGTATGTAGTTGGCGGGTGGCAGCCGGCAGACTGGACTAATTGGATGTTTATGATCGTCTTTTCTCGATATGTTTAACAAACATTTGTTTGGATTAATCTCTGTTACATTAAGGTCTGAGAGCAGGATGAGCACATGACTGTAGGTGTTTTGTATTCTTATACATCTCAACTAGTATAAAAAAAAAAGCTTGGATGTAACCAGAATCATTGATCTAATAAACTTAAATCACTTCAAGCAAAGACAAAGTATGATAAGATGGGCCAGTGTTTCTTGGAGTCTTTCTTCACCTGTAATGACATCATCCTTCATCTTCCTTGAGCCTTGAACAATGAACAAAGGGAGAGGCAAAGAGGGAAGAGTGTCCTCCATAACCATGGACTTTCAGAGGAGTCAGAAGTTGGCCCCCCTGAATCCCCTTCTATCTTTATCCCTGGGGTCAGCCACCCAATCAGTCAGCACAAAGATCAATGTAGTTCTGTCATATAAAAAATTAGCTGGGTGGTGTCATCTCATTATAAACTAATCAAGCCACATTTATGGATGGAGTTGCATCATGTTGAGTTTTAATATGGAGTAGTATCAATCCTATGTGATGAAAACAAGACAGAGAAAGACTACTTTAGTCATTTGGAACCTGATTTTTGTGGCTTTTTTTTATCTATTTAAAATGTGAAAAAACCAAAACAAGAGGCAAATTTTTTTTCTTATTTTTCTTTATGGTATGAATATTTTTTTCCTACAAACATGAGGACAAAATAAATAGCAAAAACACATGTTGCCTGTTTTCCAATCAAACAAGAGAGACAAGGGACCAACTTTCCATTAGTTATTGTCTTTGGATGAGAGGTGAGAGGTATCCTCCAATGAAGCAAATCAAAACCATACAAGTCAAGACAAAGGTTTCCTTTGAACTCTCAACCTAATCCATGGACTCCAGGAGAGCTGAAGTTTCAGCCATGAAGAAGCTTCCTTCCTCTTTCTTTACATTCATTATTACCCTTCACATATAAGCCAATGACCACAATGGAACACTTCTGGCTCCCACTTGTTCTTTCTTTATTATCTTTTACTGAAGCTTCTCATAAACAAACACCATGCAACGATTTGTTCTAATCTCTAAGGCACTACCCAAAGAGAGATAATAAGATATTGGGGATGATTAGATTCACTTAAGAAATTAGGGTTTCTTGTGGATGGGATTTTGATTCATTCCATCAGTACAAATGCCTTGACGGCCTTATCATAATTTGGTTAGCATAAGCTCGATGTTTATTTAGGTACCATTAAACCATACCAAATGAGAGGAGGTGGATGCCCACTTTATCTGCACTTTGCATGTTATGGAGAACGAATCATCTCTATCTGCACTCTTTTTCTTTGGTTGACATGATTCTGGTTGAATTCATCCATTCACAGATAGAATGAACTGTATAGTTAACACCTCCTCATGACAAAACTGACAATACTGGGATTATTGCATGTAAAAATCGTACACAAAATTACTTGACATTGTATCCGAGAACACCATTCGATATGCACTGAAGATAGAAACACTTTGTTCTCATGCAAAATGCAGTCATTTATCTTGAATGACCCACCTGGATTATTGCATCTTTTGAATGGATGAGTACAAGCGTCTCGTTTTTACATAAGAACACACAAGACAGCGCACCAAACATGCAAACGCTTCCATTTTACATTTTTAATTTGCTTGACAAATTACATGTAATGATTCTATGTTATGTGGCTAATATGTGCATAAGCCTCATGATATATATGGTATGAAAGGTAAAGGTGGTTATGGGAGACCATACTTGTCATGGGCTTGTTGCATTCTTAGGACTTGAGGGGTAGATTTTGCCTTCAGATTCTAGTTGGCGAGTGATAAAAGTGGTTTTGCCTCCTGGTAAGAGTTGATTCTGAGCTATGAAATTTTATGCTCCTCAGAGATACATGACACGGAACATTTGGTCTTCGATGGATCCTCCTCTGATGTTGTTATTGGTAGCATGGACTGCATCATTCCCTGGGAATTCCCATCGAGTAATCAGGCCATCCCAAGAAGAGCTGACGAGCAAAGGGTAGTAGGGGTGCCAGCTGCAGTCTCTTACAGTCAACTGATGGCACTGCAGTCGTGCAACATGATCTCCACTCACCTGAAACACTCGATTAGTCTGATTCCAGTTTTTTTTCATAAATCTACAATATTCAGGATGCCAGTTAGATACACAAAATTATTTTTATTCTGGCCTAAGGTGTCCAATATGTTGTGAAGGTTCAGCAATTTGCTTTAAAATGAACGAATAGCAATTCTAAGTTGGTTAAGGTGACCTTAGTCAGGATTGTGACCACATATCAGATAGCTTTCCAGACTCAAACTCCTCAATGAGAATCTTTGCTTTCTAAGGTTACTGCCAAAGATGACGTGAACACTCGAAGGACAAAAAAGAGACAAATATGATACTGTAGTATGCAAGAATTTATATTATACTGCTAAACTGCAATTAGACAAAGTCATGGGAAATTATTTTTTGATGAAGGTATCAGCTAGCTTGGCTAGTAAAGATCCTAATAATTTATCGCAAGTTCCTAGGCTCGAATCCCGTCTGCGCCACTTACTCTTTCCAAAAAAACACTATTCTTTGATCTTTAATTTATAATGCAGATGCAGCAAAACATGGTTAAAACAGTGACAGACAAGAAAAAGCTTTGACATACCACGTCATATATGTAGACGCAAGTGTCATGAGATCCAGTATAAATGTACTTTTGGCCAGTGCTGAAAAAAGAGAGAAGTAAATGTGAGTGATTTAAAGAACGAATATGAAAATTATTAAAAAATTTAATTATTTTAAGAATACCAAATTAAAATGCTTACTCCACTAAAAACAGAAAAGTTAAAATGACAGAAAGAAACATACTCTTGACATTACCTCTTTGAGGGGGAAAAATAACAGCGTATTAGAGTACGTAAAACTGAATGGCCTCTGTATGCAGCTACTGACATATCATTTGGATGTTTTAGATGTTTATTCTGAGGTGGATACTGTGAGTATCTGTAATCCCAACCAGAAGTTCTTGTCTTTGGACTGCATGAGTGAGTTGTGGCAATGGAATCAGAAGAGTGACTTCACAAAACAAGAAATTCAATCTGTACAGGTCAGACTTATTACTCATGTATCTTGACTCAAGCACAGCTGTGTACTGCATCCATGTTCAGCTACTATGACTTATGAAAGTTCAAGCAATACCACTTTCGTCCACATGTCCATGCATTTGAAAAGAAAAACATGATAATGATATGCATATCCTTGCTGCAACTCTATTGTTGGTCCTTTAGCTGAAACGTGGTATAAGGACTATGATCCACAGAGCACAAAAATGACAGGCTTATTTCGCATAATAGCAAATTTGAATTCATTGATTTTGAAAATTAGAGCTTTTCTGTATATCATAGTACTTTTTTACTGATACAGTTAAAAGCCAATTCCCCATATAACTTCTCATTTTTCACGATCCTAATAGTCAAATTTTTAACAACTCATTAGTTATGACAAATTAATGTTGTATGCACATCATGCACGCTGTTCTATTTTCTGTTCTCTTTCTTATGTTACCACCAGCAGAAGAAGCTATTTTAGGAGAGCTAATAACACTAGTACCTTGGGGAAATCTGAGCTTAATTTATTCATTAAAATATGTTTACAGATTTAGTCTCAAAAAATTGGAAGTGTGCATTAATGCCTTGCCTTGATAATTAATATTCAGTGACATTTTTTGTGGAATTTGATTATTTTGAAAATTTCAGTACTCTTGTATCAGAAATAAGTTAGAATAAACATAAACCAAGAACAGCATTGCATTATAGTAGTTGGCTACCATATATTTCACTGCATGGCCAGATTACAAACATACATCATTTTCTCTTAACTCTTCTAGCATAATTAATTCATAAAATGCCCATTTAAACTTTTGCCAGTTTTACTGGGATGAAGTTCTATTGGATAATTCGAAGTGATCATCAAATGGTTGAGATCAGATAGCATTCAAGTTTTTATTTACACCTAGAACTTGGCACACTCATGATGTGTTACAATGATTGCTTCTATTTGTCTAATTTGGGGTGCCTAAGATGTAGACAAGAGACAGTTAACTTGCCTCTTAAATTAGTAGTCTAAAATCCAACACACACTGCTATGCATTTTATCTACAAATTTGCGACCTGTGAAAAAAGAAAAGTAAAGTTGAATAGGAACTAACACATACCAATTTGTACCAGAAGACATTTTTCGGATGTCCCACAGCTTGATAGTTTGATCTTTACTATTTGAAATAAAATACCGACCATCTCCATGGCTATCGATGAAAGTAATTCCTTCTAAATGGCCAGTCAAAACTCCAGCAGCTTGTCTTTCTGTGACAAAGCAACGCCTGTCCCAGACCTGACAATTGTGCACATTCTTATTTATTGAATTTTGTGATTGAACAAACTTATCCAAGGTACAGATCAATTTAAATACTAAATAATTTTATTTTAATTCACCTAAAATAAAGACTGGAAACAGGAATGATACTATAATTCTTGATATGCTGAATCATGAATGTTTCAAGATAAGAACATGAGCAAGAGTAGTTATAAAATATACAAAACCGGAGAACTTGCTAGTCAAGGAAATCGTGGCTTTTTGGTAGAAAAATACATCTGGAAACTTGCTACTCAAGGACATCATATCTTTTTGGGAGAAAAAAAATCATTTGAGGATATGTGAAGAATATTCTAGTTGTCCTATCCTAGGTATTGTCCAAAACAAAGTTCGTAATTTCGTACCGTACTGGAGTATCCGGTACATTATATATATATATATATATATATATATATAAAAGTAAAAAGAAAAGAAATTGCGACGTCGCCTCGTTTTTCTACCCACGTGGGTAGAAGAAACCAAGGTTTCCTTCTCCCCGTGCAAAAAAGGGCGACGAGGCGACGTCGTTGCCTCGTTTTTTCTGCCCGCGTGGGGAGAATAAACGTCGCCTCGACAACACTCAGTTTCTTCTCCCCGCGATGTCGCCGAGGTTTCTTCTCTCCACGCAGATAAGGAAAAGTCGCCGACGACGCCAAGGTCTTGTCGCCTCAGACAAAAAGGAGGCAACATCTCATCTGCGACGTCCTGTGAGGGAGGGCGGCGACAAATCAGGATCATTGAGGGAGAGCAATGCCGGATCTCTAGGTTCTCCCTTTTCTTCTCCCTCTTCTTCTCCCTTGGCTAATACCATCCGATAACGGGCGGCGACAGTCGAAATCGACCGTCACCGACCGATTTAGGATGGTAATGGGGCGGAAACAACCCCAATCGACGGTACCGTCCGGTAGTGGACGGTCTACGTACCAGTCTGTTGACGGGCGATATTATTTAAAATTAGAATCCTTGGTCCAAAATTCATCTGACTCTTCATCATCTCCTTGGATATGATCATATGGAGGTGTCATAATCCCCAACAAGATAATACCTGACATTCTCATAACGACACATACAGAGTCCAATATTCACTTATGGGGTTCCCATGCCCAACTAATTCACAGCACCTTGTATCTAAACCATCTTGGCTTGCAAACGAAAAGGTAAACCATCTATGCATGTGCTAACCGACATAGTGGGATCTGCAAAATTGATTAAATTGACCTCCAACAATCAACCTATATGCTTACTGTATGTTTATCAGCCCATACAAATGATAAAAATTACCAAAGATTGCAAAGGGAAATGATCTCCTGTTGTTTTAGCACTAAATGATTTTTTCATAAAAATAGCTTGACAAAATAATATTTAAAACCATGCTAAGATATCAAATTTTGTTAAATCATACTAGCTGCATGGTTTTAGATAACAGCACATAACTGGAATACATTTAAAATGCCAATGTCAACAATAAATAATTACCACATGTACTCTTTATTGTGTAATGAGCTACTTGCTTTGGATGGATTACTAGCAATAGAACCTCTTTTTAGAAGCTGCCCACAATCACAAGCATGGCATATCCCAAATGGCCCAAGAATCTGAAGAATTGATAGGAATGAGGAAAGTACAAGATACATTCAACCATCATGGCTCATTAAAATCCCAAGGTTGAGAGTGTGTATGAGGCATATTTGGAATAAGCGTACTGCTTTGTGCACAAAAGGCCTTGATCCAATATACATTTCAGAGAATTGTGAATTGACTGCCACTATCAGATCCTTGTATACTTTGTAACTCAATAGAAGTTGATGGGTAATGAAGTAGTGACTTATCTCCTGCCCTGCCCTTATATTCTTATGTCCTGCCCTCACATTTAGAATATCTGCCTGATGCTGCAGCTTACACATCTGAACATCTTAGCCAGTAGAACCTAATGCTTCAAAAGAGTTTTAAGTTTAATTATTCAAGTTTACAAATGACCAAATTTACTACATTGTTCCAGGTCTCCAAGATACAGACAGAAGATTTTGTCAAATGAAACATCTCTGAGCATTTCCACAATGCTGACACTATTTGAAAGGGGAAGTATGATTATGCTTAGAAATGGAGAACACAGTAGTGAAGAACCAGAAAGCACCTTGCAAAGGTTATCATCACTTCCGGAGTATATGACATTCCCAGTTTCATCAGCAAACGCCACTGTGTTCACATCAAACTGGATATATATATGGAAAAAATAGAAGGTATATCAGCTCATACATAAAAGAAGGTATAGCTCATACATAAATGAATTCATTATACATCGTAGAATAGTATAGCTCATACATAAAAGAAGGTATATCAGCTCTCAGTCTTACTGTTTTCCAATTAAATACATTCTTCTATGTTTCAGTTTGCTAAGTATGTCAGCTATCGAACTGAAACCTATAAATTATACAGGAGACACGCCCATCTACATCCACTTTTCTGCATGTGGCCAGACATTATTTGCACCAAATATGCATGCACAATTGTCGTGATGTGTAAGAGTGGACATAAATGTGTACCTACAACGCTACAATTACTTTCTCCAGGAACAAAACAAACTCATACCGAATGAGCGGGAAAACGTGATTTTAGTTTGTTTGCTTCAAGGTCATAAACATATATCGAATGGTCACTGCTGCCAGCAACAAGCTCCCGACCATCAGATGAAAATTTTATAGAAAATATGCCAAAAATGCTTTCCACATCCTCATGCATAGAGAAGTCTAATCCTTCATGGATTTCCTGCATGACATTATTAAAAAGAAACTATATGTATCAGGATGTAGAATAATCAATCTGTAAGGATTCAGTAACCTAATGAAAATACTATCTGAAACATCCAAACACAAGAACGTAATTGTAATGAGATTGAACAACGGAAAGATATTATCTGGAGGGTAAATTGGTGTGATCCAATAAACAAAAAGAACATTTTACTTTTGTGTAAGGGTAACACGTCTCTATGTACCAATTATGCTCTTATAAGAAGATAACATGGTTACTTTTTTCCTAAGAATTTGCAACTCTATAAAACCTGGTGATACACTGTGGACTCTTCCAGAAAATTTTTGAAGATTAATGGAGGTCTTACTCTGGTGCGCACCACTAGTTTAATTGGGTACCTGATAATGGATACTTTCACAAGCAACTTACTTGTTAACTAATGTCAATTGAGTCCTGTGATATTTTTGAAAATGATTATCTTAAGTGTTTTGACTTTTGTCAACATATGGCAAACAAAGGCAAAACCTTTTAACTAATTTAAACCCAAAGTCCCAAAAGCCGAATAACACCAACAATAGTTTATATAGAAGACCTTTTGGATGTTCAGATCCCTCTAAAGTGTAAGAGTTGTGTGCACTCTAAAGTTAATCAGATATGTCAAATATGGTGATGCATATTATTGAAGAAACTGACTGTTTAACTCTTACTTTGATATAACCAGGCCTCTGTCAAGCAGGTAAGCAAGAAATATGAAACCATGTATCTTCAGATCTCTCTACTGATCAACTTTGAAAGTTGATCGGTGCCAAATTATCACTGACATGGGAGAAATATATAAAAATGACCATTTCATTTAAAGATTTTTAAGTAGTAGAACACCCTTTAGACTGACTAAATCTGAAATCTTTGGATAGTAGAATACAGGCATGGCCGTATTAAGCATCAGAAGCTTTAGGCTTGAGCCAATTATAGGAGCTAAAATGAAATTATTTCTTAACCTCTTAAATCAGATAAAAGAACATTGAGGAGATGTTTGGAACAAAAGAGAGTTTTATATTTTCCAGTTGTCAATACTGCCCTTATTTCTTGAAATAAGACCAGCCTAAAATAGAGGTATATCGTGTCAACCTTCTTCTGTTTAAGGTAGAATATTACCCAGTTGTGCTCTTGCAAAAACCGCAACTATTGAATGGATCATTATATTTGAAGCCCCAAAATTGAGCAATAAGAAATTGTGCATATATCTACCCACTATGGTCATTATCTTTAAGAAGGTATACCAAAGCAAAATTCTCTCAGTAAAGAAAAAAGCATTTCTATTTTTCTAGAGTGACATGAGGTGTAGTGATAGGATGGATTTCATGTTCAATGCAAATGAAGATGTGAATAATAGTACTTGCATAATACATTTCTATCTATTAAGTAACAACAGTTGAACTCAGAGCAATATAGAAAAAGGTGATAGCAATTCTAAATAAAAAAACTACACTTTTTGTAGACCCAAAAAAGTTATATGGGCATTTGTGAATCATGAAGCATACTGTAATATTAGCATGTGATTCTGTTGCAGCGGTTCCCATATTAACAATATGAACAATAGGCGTCATACTGGCATAGACCTGCAAAATGTAAGGACCAGAGCTTATAAAACAAATTCTTTATTGGATATTGTAGAACCAGAGCAAAATATAAAAAAGAAACACAAAAAAAAAGCATATACAGTTGTACATATTAGGTTATCCAAAAAAGTTTAAAAAGACTTAGTCTACTGAAAAGATACCTTAAAGCACCCAAAGCAGTAAATAGCAATTTACAAGTTTATTTTGTGTTCTGATAGTATAATTAAGTCTAATAGGGTGAATCATTCCTGAAATTATACTGCAAAGTTAGTAATCATATGACAAATAGGTAGACCAACAGCTAAAAAACAGTCCGCTCTTGATTTACATGACATGTTTTGCAAGACTATAAATTTTAAGTACTATTTCTCATATATAGCCCAAAAGTTTTAAGTAAATTTACGAAACACGTTTTTATTCTGATTTAGCCATCTACTGTCAGTGATATTGCTCAAGGTCCAAGCTTATACAATCAAACAAAGCTTCGTGTTGGTTGTCATCTAAAAAAACTTTATTAGGAAGAACAAAATGAGATTTGACCACTCTGAGTCTTCGTAGTGATATTCCCAAATAGAGCTCAACAATGGGAAATGATCCATGCAGCCAACCCCATGTAGTTGAGAACTTCGGATACTGTGGGTTGCTATTTTTTCATTTGTGAATGATGTAGGCTAGCTTGTAAAAATAAAAACTAGCAAATCTCTGAAACTGCAACTTTATGAAAGTTAAAGAAAACAGAATGTAGAATGATTATAATTTCCCTCAAATTAAATGATCTAATTCACTATAGTTACTTCCATGCATCTACAACTAAATAGAGTCAACAGACTGTTGTGAATGTAAACATTGAAAAATTTCAGATTGTACATATGAATAGCCATACTACAAAATGCATGAAAAAAGGTTTCTTAGTCAGTTGGAGATTGTTTTATCTAGAAAAAGAAAAAAGAACAACCCCATGAGAATCACCTATATCAAGTACTTAAGAATCACATCTACAAGTTTTCAGACTGAGAATGTCTTCCAAATTAAGAGGAAACAAACACTAGGGAAAGGAATGGTTTGTTTTGTTTGATGGGGTTTGGTTGATTCTATTTGGCGGGCTTAATGAATTCCTCAATCTCATTCTTTATCAAGAATGATTAAGTTTTTCACTCCTCTGTTCCACCATTATCTTTCTTCAATCCTTACCATTTGATCATATCACATATTACAGAGGTCAAATGCAACCACAGAATTAATCATGAACCTAACTTCCATCACAATAGACATAAAACCCTTGATGGGTTTACTCTCATGCTAACTTTGACTAGAGCATTATAGGGTGGGGTCAGATTCCTTTGTCGGGAATGAACTGCAAAAGAATTGAACATGGTTTAGTGATTACCTACTCCACAAAAACTTCCACCACCAATCGAGACACTACAAAAAGAAAATATAATTCTTTTTCTCTAACACCATTCTCAACAATCAGGTGCTCACAACATTCTCACGACAAACCTTGCTGTTGGCTGCTCATCACTAGGTGGACCTCTCATGCATCACTGGAGCACTCATAGCACCTCTACACTGTAATTCACAAACCTCTGCCACTTCATGATCCCTCACCTTAAATGTATATAAGGACAACAAATTCCTATTTACAAATTCAGTTCTTAAATCAGTCCCATACCAGAGGACCCATTTAGACTCCATTACCAACATTGCAACAGTTGCCACTATCTAAGCAAGCTTTGCCCACTTTGCAGGATAGAATTAAGAGTGATTAAACCTTAAAAACTTCCAACAACAACTTCATCTATTGAAAATTACCGTTGGCCATCAGTTTTCCAGGAACAAAAACATGAATCAAGTATCCCCGGGAACAAACAGTTCAATGATGAAGCACTCTTTTACCAAGACTGATCCAGGAACTCACAAGATATCGTCGATCTGGGGAGAGGGATGTATCAGTTATTGTCCATCTCAAGCTTCTGGCACGGATATCCTTTTCCACTTTCCACCCCTTATCGACATTGTAGATTCTTATACGACTTCCCTGTCAAATTTCGAGAAACATGCAATGATAAGGTGGACGCAAAACATATTCTGTTTAAAAATGAATCAATCAGCAATTGCAGCAAACACCTGGAATGCAGCCACAAAGAGTGAACCGTCTTCCGAGAACTGCGAAACATATACTCGGCTATCCATTCTGTCTACAGGCCACGGGCCATTGACAGGCAGATACTGGCCAAGAACATAAGAGCAATCGGCGGAGGAGAACCTCCCCCTTCCAGAAACATTAGCCTCTCTTCCTGACAACATCCTGACCGTCGAGATCGGCGCCGTGCGCCTTCCATCGATGCCCTGCCGGACCCGAGCACTAGGCTCGGATCTCAACCGGGTCAGATAAAAGATATCATTGTCCACATCAAATGTTTCACCATGGCCTCTCCTCAAGCGAGCTGCATCCCCGCCCCGCGCAGTATCATGCATGTCGATGTCCATATCCGGCCTGCTCATGCCATAACCCATCTTGAGATGGTCCTCTGCAGCATAGACTTCTAACTATTCACCAACAGACTCCTTTTTCGCTCCAATTTCAACCTCGATCTTTTTGATGATGATAGTCCTGAAAGATAACACCAACAAGGAGGCAACTGCTCAAGTCAGCTAGAAATCTACATAGAATCAGATTGTTTATCACAGTATCTACATCTTCAAACACGAAAAGAATGAAATATTTGTCGATTGTATCAAGATCAAAGAAATTAATCGGAACGCTTGTTCCAAAACCTATGATTCTCTCCGTTGCGAACTTACCCGAGAGTGAACATGGGAGTCGCAGCGAATCCCTTTCCCCCTTACGTTTCGTGCCTCGAGGACGGATGGGTTTCTTCGATGGTTTTTAGGCAAGGGATGGGATAACACGGCGCGGGGGCTGAGATGGATCTGATGCAATTCACATTGTAAAGAAGCGGCAGAACGGCGACATCCGTCGGATCTAATGCCCTGCCGCGGTGGCTGTCGGCCGAGACGCGGGACCGGGTCTGTCGCGCGCGTAATGGCGTTCCACGTCGGACGTGGATGCGGGCCCCACTACGTTTCGTGTGCGGTTGATTCGCGCTGTGCGTGCGGCGATGCGGGCCCGGGACTGGGACATGATAATAAACCTCGAGTTATTTTCCGTCCCTCTCCATTGCCTCACCCGCCATGGCACCGGCGCCGCTACGGGCACGCTGAGTGGGTCCCAGTGCCACCTCATCGTAGGTAAGGGGCGGGTAGAAAAAGTGGTCGGTGCATAGCGGCGGAGTAAAGAACGACGGAGAGCACCGGCGACGGACGGAATTTAAGACGGGAGAGAAAGTTAACGACGGAGGCATCTTCTAGAAGCACAGAAGAAACGGATCCCATCGATCACGTCAGGAATATACATCGACAGTGCACATTAGGAGTGACGAGGACATTAGGAGTGCACTGTGTTGAATTGTTGGTGTAGGAAAAAGTAGAGATGTGTCAATGTCAAAAGCATGTCGACTTGGATTAGGAAGTGTTTGAATGCACGAGACGCAATAGAACACACAGAACTATGAGGTGTTCGAACATGAGAGACACGAGAGAGCATTGGAAGCTTATAAACTTAAACCATCTTTACAAAAATGTTACTCTTACGACATACACGAGAGTATCTCAGTGTACTCAATTGAATTATCATAAGAAACGATAAAATGTAGGAGAGACACGAGAGTATTATAACATACTAACTTAAACTTCTCGTGCATCGAGTGTCGAACAATGAAGATGCATTAGGGCATTGAGAGCATGTTGGCTTACATTGTATACATAGAAAATATAGCATATAAAGAACGCACGAGGGTGCTTAGGCATATCGATTTAAAATGCACGTTGTATGGAATATTACATGATAAAGATATGTGAAAGAATAAGAATGTGCCAACTTAAAATGCTTAAGCTTGGAATGTCAGATGTGGTAGACACATGGGTATATCAATTTGAACTATCAATGTAGGATATGTCAGATGTATGAGATGCATGAGAGTATCAATGGTGTATCATTTTAAATGCGAGTATAGGAGTATCGGATGCTAGAGATATGCGCATGATGGTTGGATTATGGGAGAAACATGAGAGCATCGGGAGTATACCGACTTACGTTACTTATTTAAAAGTATCGAACATGAGGATGTACTAACTTGAATTATTTGAGGAGAGAGCATTGAACGTAAAAGACACACAAAGGTGTTGGAGCATGCCAACTTGAATTACCATATAAGAAGCACCATATATACAACAAGAGGGTATCAAGGACATATCAATGTTAACTAAGTATGTAGAAAGTATTAAGCATTAAAAATATACAAGAGTGTCAAATTATGTTAACTCGAACTTTGCTTGATGGAAGAGTTAGATGTGAAAGACACGTAAGGGCATCAAGGCTTGTCAACTATAACACATTGTTTCCAAGATGTGATGGTGCATGTGAGGGTATCATAACCAATACCAATCCATTGTAAGTTTTTCGAAGATCCCCAAATGTGAGGCATGACAATTTGAACTACCTTAAGATCATCGAATGTAGGAGATATGCAAGAGTGTCATCACATGCCAACTTAAACTACCTATGTAGAAAGCAAAAGATGTAAGAGACACATGAGAATATTGAGGTGTAGCAACTTAAATTATGCATCCAAGAAACACAAGATGTTCAAGAACGTTAGGCATATCAACTTTAACAACCCATGTAAGGAGCACTGAACACAAGAGACATGCAAGAGAATTACGACATGCTATGAAAATTAAAAAAGAACATAGACACACACACAAAGGTATTGAAGGCATGTCAACTTTAATAGCTCATGTAGGGAACATCAATCATATGAGATATGAAAGGATATCAAAGACATGCTGAATTGAATTACCCATGCACAAGATGTCAAATATGAAAGACACATTAGAGCATCAAACATAAGAATATCACAGAGTAACAACTTGAATTACTCAATTAGGGAGTGTTGGACAAGAGAGACATCGAGGTATACTAACTTAAACTACCAACGAAAAGAGCATTTGATGTGAGAGATGCTCGAGGGTGTTGAAGATCTGTTAACTTGAATTGCTTATGTAGAAAGTATCGAATCCTAGAGACGCACTAGGATGATGTCAGGTGTGTCGAATTATTCTACCCATTTAGCAATCGTTGAATGTGAGAGACACATGTGAGAATCGAGGTATGTTAATTTGAATTGCCCATGCGGAAGTGTAATATGTAGAAAATACATGAAGACATTCTCAACCTAAACTATTGATCTATGTCGATATGATGGTCATCACATTACGTTACCATTATTGGTTCTAGAACTTAAATCTTGACGACAATGGTTGCATCACTAAGGGCAAGAAAAGAAGAATAGAAAGTCGATTACAATGTAGAAAGTTAATAAATCGATCATCGATTTGACTTTATAAAGTCAATACGAATGTTATCATGACTGAAACCCTTATGCTCCTTCATGTCTGTCGTCCCCTTGATAGGAAACTCTCTCCCGAGCCCAAAGATCATGCAAAACTATACATCATAAGCATCTCTGATAAAATTTCTTCAATACTTAAGCTAATAAAGAGTTCATATAAATAAGTTTAGTTCAGAGAATTCAAGTGTAATTATCAAATCTAGTCAAACAAAGAGAAGTGAGAGTAGATATAATCCATATAGAGAGAGGTATGGACTGTCGGTTAATATATAGGGTGATGCAATGTATTCTCATGCTTCATCTCGTTTCTTGTGTCTCCCATGGATACCTGAGAAGGTATCAGTGATGGGGAAATGTTCCTTGTATCTGTACACTTCATAATAATGGAATCCATTCACTATGTGCACACAATAAGATTAATAATCCACTGTATCAGGACACCAAAGATAAAAATAATGTCAAGAAAGAAATCACAGGCCATCCTTATACCCCAACATAATATTCATGGCACGCAACGTTGACCAGGAAGGAAACTAGTCCTGTCCATGCATCCCCATACACAACAAGAAGGTGTTCCATCATCTTCTTCCTGAACTTGAATCACTGTACAATATGGTGTCCAACGGATACCACTGAACACACACACACCAGTAGAAGGAAGAAAGGCAATTCAGTTGTTCTTCTTCCATAGACTGCGTCACCTATAGAGTTAGCACCAGCTTCCAACCTCATCAAATATGAGGAGGAGCTGGATCAGGCAATAACAAAAGACTCTATCAGTAGAAAGACGAAGAAAAGTCACCTTTGATTCAATGTTCATGAACAGCTTTGAGAGGTTTCAGTGGAGGCCAAGCTATCCCGCTCTTGCCGCGGAATCATTCTTCGAGTTCTAGCGAGCGAGCAAGACGCTACCCGAGCTGCAACAAATCATTGGCATGCCATCGAACTAAACTAGATCTGAGAAAAATGTGTAGCTTCTGTGAGAGTGTAGAGCTTCATATATTTGCAGGTTGCTTTAAGTTACAAGTAACGAAGTTCCTGATCTCCTCCATTACTTCATAGAAATGGTCGGTGTTCGGCAACAAGTAGAACCCGATCGTGGCCTGTTCACGGTAGACAAGCTTGACCTCTTTACCGGCCTTCTTCAACCCCTCGGTGTAGGCCAATTGCCAGTCCTGAACAAGATCCAGACCTGCCACTATAACGAGGCTTTTGGTGAAAGGAAGCTCTTCGAGCTTCATGCCGTTGGGGCCAAAGGGGTTGCAAGCGGGGTGGTCTCTGTCCGCTCCCTCGGGGAGATAAGCCTTCCAGTACCAATCCCTGTCTTGAATCGTGACGAAGTACTTCCCATCCAATCTCTTCTCTGACTCAGTCCGGTGATTACCACCGAACATGGGGTTGAGGAGGATGTTCCCGGACACCTCGATCCCGGATTCTGCAGCCTTGACTGCCACATGGTGTGCGATGTTCCCCCCGGAGCTGTCACCACAGAGGAACACCCGAAGTTTAGCATCCTTGCCGCTGTGGAGCCATGGCTCGGTGGAAGCCCACTTGAGGGCGGCCCATCCGTCGTCGTAGGCACAGGGATACCGGTATTCCGGTGATCGACGGTAGTCGACGGAGATGACGACGGCACCGCACAGGGAGACGAAGCGGCGGCAGAGGGAGTCGTAGATGGCAGTGTTGGACGAGGAGTGGGCGAAGCTGCCGCCGTGGAAGAAGATTATCACGGGGAAGGGATCGGGGGAGGGAGGCCGGTGGAGGTCGGCAAGGGGCGTGGTGGGGTTGGGAGGGGCGGGGCGGTAGATGCGGGCGAGGAGGTTGTTGGTGCGGTCGATGACGACGTCGAAGGAGACGACGCCATTGACGGGAGAGGCATTGGCGGGGACCTTGCGGTCGAGGAATTCGGCGAGGTGGCGGTCGAAGGTGCCGTCAGGGCGGCGCAGCATGTTGTAGGCCAGCTTGAAGTTGGAGATGAGGACCCAGGTGTGCAGGGGAACCACCATCTGTGAGGCATCACAACACCAAAAGCTCAAATCAAGAAAGAGAATGAGGGCTTTTTCTTCGATTACAGGAGGAGTCGGTCGCGAAATGGAAGCAAGATTGGATCTTTTTGCGATGACAGCCAGGTGGGATTTCTCGAGACCTTCCATGAATGCGTCTCTTGTTTCGTTTGATTAGCATCAAAGACAAAGATGAAGACAACAAGCGAGAATCAACGTGGTTTTTGTTTGCTTTCGCTATTTTCCTCTTTGGATGATGACGAAAGATTCCAACTTTTCCCAATTCCTTTAGTGGCCATCGATGATTCACGAAATTACTTCGCTTTTGGAATTCAAGAACTCAAAAGAAACACCCACCGCAGAGAGGAGGAAGAGAGAGAAGGGAACAAAGGGGGAAGAGAGCCTAACGCAAGAGAAGAAACGATTCCAATCACTCAAAGCTGCCACCTTTAACAACACTGAAATCAAGATAAAACCCCAAAATCTGGAGAAAGAAGATGATTTCAAGACCAAATTCAAAGCAGGGAAGGCGAAAGGAGGTCCGTACCTTGGACTCGTTGGCGTTCACCTCGTTGCTTCCCGCCATCGCGAAACCGCACCCGGACGCAGAATGGCGAGAACAAGGAGGAGAAGGAACCGGAGTGAAAGAGCCACCCGAAGCGTAGAAAGCTCCCTCTTTTCCCCGTGAACCGAGCTCGAGAGATCCAACCCTCGACGACTCACCACCAAACCCGCAGCTTCTGTGCCCCACGAGCTCTCCTTCCACCGCGCCACCACCCCCCCCCCGATCCCGCCGAAAAGAGCCGCCTTTCGAGATCGCGAGCGAGAAGATACTGCTCCAAGGAGAGGAAGGGCGATGGAAAGAGGAGGGAAGACGGGGACAAGGGAGAAGAGAAGTTCTGGAGAAGAAGCCCGAGAGGAGGGCACCCGAGGACAGGGAGAAAGAGACAGAGGGAACCGTGAGGGAGAGACACAGCGTGAGAGAGGAAGTCGCGAGAAACGGCAAGGGGGAACCGCGGCCGCAGGAGACGACAAAGTGGGGCGGCAGAGGAAAATAAAAATGAACTCGGATGCTATGCGACCCACGTATCCACGTGGTACGACAAGTTCGCCACGTCAGAACGGCATGTCATCCTATGTCCAACGCGGACATCATGTCCCCATATATATATATATATACCTAACACAAATTTGGTGGTTATAAATGCAATTAAACCTAATGATAATATACTTTATCGACCACCATATTGCATCTTTGAATAGGATTAATTATTAGTGGGCCAATAATTTGGATACATGTTGATAATTGTAAATAGAGAGAGAGAGAGAGAGAGAGAGAGAGAGAGAGAGAGTCATAGACAATGTCTTATGTATAGCGAGGGGATTAAGTCATATCAAATCAAATGATGATATGGATACTGATGTGATGAAATGGTGTGGTGATCATAACAATATCATTACTATGTGTATATATAATAATTACTTATCAATGTGTATTCTTCAAACAAATGGGTATTTAATTTCAATCTCAATTTGTGCCCAAACGTCCCCTCTTGACTAAATCAAACTCACATATCGAGATCATGTGGTTCGCGAGATTCTTGGTAGAATGAATTAGCAATCACATAACGAAGACTAACTCATCGGGATGGACCAATTCATTATTTTATATCAAAACGAAATAGTTTTTTTCACCATAAGAATATCTTATTTTAGTTTCTTCTCTATCTAATTATATCCTTAATTTAGTGGACATGTAATAGATTCCTTTTATCTTTCAATAAGATGCAATCTAATTAGATGTCAAATCCAAAGCTTATCATCTAAACATATTTGACATATAAAATTTAAAAAAAATATATTTTTTTTGTATCATGAGTTTTGTTTTTGTCGGTGTAGATTGTAGTTATTCGAGTTAGGGAAATGATTTTGATCTAATCGAGATTCATTTTGAATCTATCTCATTTTATATCATGATTCAAAACTAAGTCTAAGGTATTCTCGATGAATACCTCTTTTGTGATTTCGATAAATTAATTGGGCTAGTTCATCAAAGCTAATGAAGAATTATGTTAGAGAATGTACTATCCATTTTATAAAGTGACTCAAGAGATAATTATATTTCGAATCATTGGTGATAAGAGAAAACGTGATGTATTTCAAATAGAGATATAGCATGATGTTCGTAGCACCTAACGCCGACTAACTAAATCAATCATGAGGTGAAAATGATATATTAGTTGTATCTTTCCTCGAGTAGTCTTGTGGTATATACTAACGGGAGACTTTGGAAGAAGAATAAAAGTAGATACATACGATATCAATAAATAAAATAGTAAAGATAGATGCAAGTAATATTGACCCTTCTTTTGTCTTTTGCAAACATCAACACGACAATGTAAAGTTGGCCGAGTTGAATTAGTGATATGCGTGTCTACTCGAATCTAACAGTTAAACATACAATTTAATACCTCTGTCGGCAATCTTATGCCATTAATTACGCAAAGACAAATGCGAGAACAACACAATAATAAATGAAGAGAGAGAAAGCGAGGAGAAAGAGACAAAGAGTTTGCCACGACAAAAAGAACGCAACCCCCCCTCTCCCACCTTATCGTCTTCTTCTCTCCCTTCTTTAATGGCTCTGTGTTGACGTGCCCAACCAGAGTGCCTCTCCCTCACCACCCGTTGCATTTGTCTTCACACGAAGATAGAGATATATAGAGAGAGAGAGAGAGCAGGAAGGAAAAGTGCGTCCTTCTTCGACCCGTGGTTGGATCACGTCGTCAAAAGTAAACCCAGTGATGAGTGCTTCGCCTTTGGTGGAGATGATTGTGGTCTTACAAGCTGGTCAACAATGGTGAAGTAATTAATCGAAGGGCTGTTGGAGTCCACAATGACTTCTATGGTGCATACCAACCGACCTAGATTCGTATATATTCTACATTAGAAGATGATAACAGTTTGCTTACCACGAATGATGTCAAGGGAGAAATGTGCATGTAAACTAGAAGATGGACAAGTGATGGCAAGTGCATTGATCTTTGGACGCATACGACATGCACCCAAATCCTTGTTTTCTTGTGTATCCTCAGAAGAAAAGTGTGAGAAAGAGAAAACAAAGAGTAGAGAGAGTTCTCTTCTTTGTGTGGTTTATGTTATTTCCCATCGAGCGATCTCACTGCACCAAGCAAAAGATGGAAGATTTTGGACCCGGGAGAGGATCTTGGCATAGATTTTGTCGGGGTCAACTCAGATCACCAGCATCGAAAGTCAACCGTACGAGAGCCAACCGGTGGAGGTCAGAAAAAAAAAAGTCAACGAAAAAAAGCAAAACACAAATTCGAACGTGACCTCGAAGAATGTAAAGTGGAAAAGCGTTCGTCTTTTCCTCCCTTTTGCATCATCATCTCGTTTGACTTCCCCACAGTGAGTGAAAGAGTGCAGTAGTATCCATGCAAGCAGAAGAACCATGATCGTGTGAGGAAGAAAGATTTCTGAGCTCCCCAACATTTGCCATCCAGCGAGTCGCATACACTTTCCACTTTTCTCTCCTTCTTCAACTCGGGATCTGAATGATCAGATCATATTCAGTCTCGGCTATAAGATTTATTACGTTGCAATTTAATATGATCGATATTTTCGCATAATCAAGTGATATAATATGTATCATTCTAAATATAATTCAGATTCGACCACCCTCTTATTATAAAACCTCAAAGTTTGACGATCGATTTGTTGGATGATGCCCTTCTACTTCATGAACAGTGACTCGGATGGAGCATTAGGGGCACTCACAGAAACAGACAAGAAGAAGAGGGGAAGCTGAAGTTGACAGATGGAGAGGGGGGGTGGAAGCGAAGGGATGAGGACAAAGTGCAGCTCCACATGGTGGTGGTATGTTTGGCCACGGAGGACAGCCCATCTGTTGTGCAACACAAGAAAGGTGTCAGTGTGGGTGTGATGGGAGGAAGAAGATGAAGAGGAGAGGAGAGGAAAAGGTGTAGCCATTTGTACCTTCTTTTTGGCTTCTTGTGCTGTTGTTAAGGTTCTTTTGGCACAAGGAAATATATTAGTTGAGTGCACTCCCACCGTCCCACATTAGAAGACTATGCTCCAACAAAGGAGTGTTATGTGATTTATTTTATTTATTGTGTTCAAGGAAAAAAATATATATTTGTGGAAATGAAGATAGATAAGTCAGACATAATTGATATAAATGTGATCATAGGAAGGAAAGAGTTTTAGATAATTTATGCATATTAGACTTTCTTTATAGAACCGATAAATCAACGGTCCCTAAATATAAAAATATATTAAAGGGAAAAACACTTCTTCATATTTCTATAATAGATTATGCTAAGGGGTTTGTCTCGTAAAATCGCTTTGTGTTTGTTCGTTTTAAACAACAAAAACATGTAAAGAGTTTAATATTTATTTTCTAAAATTATATATATTTAAATATTTAATTGATGTGATATATCTAATTGATTCTTTATCGTCTTTGATATATTTATAAAAAAAGATATCAATTTTATTTTTAATCTTTTCTAATGATTCTACAAAGGCATTTCAACATTTCCATCGATGTCATAAATGAGAAAATTACAACTAAGGTTTCCCAATCTAAATCTTAGTGATCCAACCGATGTCGAGAAGGTGTGTGCCACATGACAACAAACGGTTAGTTAGGACTCTAATAGAGAGTTTGGTATGACGGAGAAGAAAAGCAATTTGATGATGAGAATATTATATATATATATATATATGATGTGATTTTGACGTAAGGAGAGAGAGAGAGAGAGAGCGAGTTGACAAAAGGATAGGAGGGTACAAAGATCACGGGAGGGGTTAGATGTGATACCGATGGAGGCATCAACTGCCCACATTAATTGAAGTGTGAATGGTGGTGGGTGCGTCACGAGGGCGAGTCCCATAAGCTACACGACAACCCTCCTTTTGCCTCAGCATGTGCTGCATGCTCTTTTCCTTCTTCTTTCTCTATAGATAGATAGATAGATAGGTAGATAAGTAGATAGAGAGAGAAATAATTGTGATCGTTCTATTTGATTCCAAAATCCATCAGTCAAAATTGAAATCAAAATCAATCAATAAAAAATTTAAAATTAATTAGGTATTGTCTGATGATCAATCTAATTAAACAGAAATAAATCCTTCTGAAAGGAGTAATGTTTTCGAAAGGTGGGTCAACGATGCACCGAAGACGGAGTCAAGTGCCGTACGCTGACAGGGAGAAGCAAAGCTTGGGTGGCTCGGAGGAGGAGGAGGAGGAGGAGGAATGTGAAAGGAACAGTGCAGCCACCATCACTGTTGCTTTCGGCTCTTCCTCCTCGTCTTCTATGCTCCCCTCTCCCACTTCTAGCGGAGACAGGGGGTGATGGGAAACCGGCGGGCATATGGTGGAGAGGCTTTTCCGGCACTTTGTCAGCGCTATTTTTGGCGAATCGAAGAAGAAGAAGGAGGATGAGGAATAAAGAATTGGTCGATGCAGGGTAAGGTATGGTAGGCCTGTCCACAGCATGCACTGTTTGGAGTCTGCTGCAGCTTTCTCGAGCTCATGCACAGAGCTGTGACTACACGAAGTATTGCAGGGACTAAAAGAAGGGAAGCAGCCATGACTTGGCCTCCGCAGGGACAGTCAGTATTCTGAGGTTTTCTGGAGTCTATCATCATGGTCTTTCCCACAGATATATTATCCTTAGAATTTTGAGATCTGTATTAGGGAAGTTGGCATCTGATTCCACCACAAGTCGAGCATCTAATTCCTTGACAGGCGCACCACCTTTCCCCCTTCCTCTTCACAGACGCATCTTCCACCTCTTTTCCTTTTTCTAAGCATGTAAAACTCTCTCTCTCTCTCTCTCTCTCTCTCTCTAGTTTAGGGAGATAAACTATGTCAAATGGGCCTTCTCTTTATAAGAGCACCAACAGTTCATAAGCAGACATGATGTGGGAGGCCCATTAACAACACCAGACAGAATGTGGAAGAGGTAGTAGTCATCATCCTACCAATTCCTAATTGTCAC